ATGACATTTAGGACATCAAGGGTAATATGACAATAGCTCTAGTGGCCAGTCCAGAAAAAGAGTTCCAGAATTGCTTTGAAGGGTGGACTAGGTGCTGGCGTCGGTACATAGCTTCCCAAGGGGAGTACTTCGAAGGTGACCATAGTGACATTTAGCAATGAGGTATGTAGCACTTTTTCTAGGATGAGTTTGCAAACTTAATTGTCAAACCATATGTATGTAGAGAAGGTCATTGAGATTAGGAATGGAAGCAATTAGAGGTTGTGAGCTTAGATCATCCAGACAAATAAGTGCCATTTCATGTGTCAGGTGAATTGACAGGTCCGAAACTGCCTGTGAAGTATTCACATTCTTAAGGTAAAATGATAATTTTTTTCGAAAATAGATTTTGTTTAAAAAAGTAAACAACCTCCTATTTATAGTAACTGAGTTTTTGCTGGAAGAACAAGGAGGGGTTCCTGGGATAGCTGATTACACCATGTCAGGGAAATGATGAAAACATACACAAATAGAACAAGATCCCCTCTAGTTGTTTAAAATGTAAAAGTCTTAGTACCTGGAATTCTTTGTGTTGGACACAAGACTGCTTAGCATCTTTTGTAAGTAGTTTGAGTCTCATACATGAATATTCGACTACCGTTGGGATAATATCAGAGAAAAATGATTTTAGACTTCTCTGGCTAGTAAAACATTAATGGTAAGTTAATGTGTGCACTGTTCCTTTTAAGTATGATTTTTTTCATACTATTTGAGCAGTAGATGTGTTAAGAATGTAATGTTGGGGGAACACTCATCCTTGCTTTGTTTGAAACAAGGTTGCACATTATTCCTTGCTCACATAATGCCATTGTATCAAAATTCCTAGACAGTGTTACCTGTAAGAGATTTATCTTCAATGGGAGACTCGTTTCTTTCATTCCTAAGTGTCTAATCATTTATGTGATTTGGTTTTTAAACAGGACTGTCATATGGGACAAGAACAACATTACTGCACAAGGCTTTCAAGATATAGCTGTTGCTATGGAAAAGTAAGTTTTCATTAGGACTGCTTCTGAAAAAATGCAAAGATCCATTGGTGTCTGTGTGATCTGTGGGGTAACAGAAGTAGCTGTAGACTGGGAATCAGATGATCAGAGTCAGAGTTGGTCTACTGCTCACCAGCCATGGGACCCCCAAAGATGTGGATTTTCTCCTGGTGTGAGTTTCTGCATCTCTGAAGTGAGGGTAGATGCATGTTCTGTCAGAGAGGCCACACAATGATTGCCTGGCTTCGTACTGCTATGGTTTCACAGTCCGTCTCCACTGGGTCTTGCTTTTTTGCTCATTATGACAACTTTGAATCTGGTGGTAACAAGAAAGTTGAGGTCCAGAAAACAAAAATGAAGTTGATAGATGGCAAAGTTAGGGCTAACTTGTCTCATTACTGTAAAAAGCTTTCTTTTGACCTTGGTAACTAGAGTCTGCAATTATTATTTATTGTCAGATTTACTTTCCCAGTAAACCAGATGAGGAAATCATAATGCAAACGTGACTGGAAAAAAATGCTAGAAATCTGGTTCTTGCTGAGCTTTTTAATCCTCATTATATTCTATAGGCAAAAATGATCAAAGCAGGCTTATATTATTACAAATGAGAGTTTACAAAATGTGGATGAGAAATAAGGAGCCAGTAGCATAGAAGTCAGTCCCCTGGGGAAGGGGTGCTCATTATTTTGTGTGTTCCCAGATTTCGCTCCATGCGTGATGCCTCTTAACTGGAGTTCTCTTGCCCATTATAGTGCTGTGGAGACAACCCTCCATTCAATCCCCAGCTTTAGTGCCTACAAGCCTACGATCCTGAGCAAGGCATTTCACCTCCCTGATTAATTATTTTATAACGTGAGAAAGTTGGAGTAAATTATCTCTAAGTGCCTTTCTGCTTCTAAATCCTGTGGTTCTACTCTAGCCAGGAAGTCCAAGTTGCTGCCACCACAGGTCATCACTAAACATGGGTGAGGCAGCTTGCACCATCCAGTCACCAGGTCCCCTCTCCCTGGAGCCTTCTGTGACTGCAGGGCCACCTATAATTACTCCTATTCACCACAAAACTTCCGAATGGACGCATTTTATTTTTTTACAATAGCTGTATTTGACTGCTAACAGCACAGTTGCCACCCGGATGATGTTGTAGACTGCCAGCCCAGAGGAGGCTTTGTGAGAAGCCAAGAGCGTGCACACCCAGTCCTCACCGTTTCCAGGTTGATGGTGGGACTCCATGGAACACAGTTGGTTACATACTGTGTGCTCCAAGATGCCAGTGGTTCAAAACCACATTTGGTTTCAATAAACTCTGCTGGCCTATAGCATGATCAGAATTGGACAAGGGAAAAGAAAATCTTCAAGGCTGCAAAAAAACCTTATTGTCTCTGAGTTTCAGTTGACTGGCTCCTCTTAAACCAAACAAAAACAATTTTACTAAGGTAAAAATTGAAGTTATAGAAACAGCAGCCTTTTCTTTGCCTGTTATTTTACATTAAACCACCTTATAAGTTGGACTGGATGAAGAACGTTTTTTCCATTAAATATCCATCCAGATTACTGTTATTATTAAGATGATTGTTTATCTTTTTTTTATTATTTCTTCATCATTAGTTACTTATTTTGGGAATTAGTTGTTAGTGAACTCTTTCAATAGAATAATCTAAATATTTGTAAGAATCACACTGTGAGTGCTGCCTGTAGTTTAGACACAGAAAACAAGACGGCTGACTGCGTGATTCCAGGGCACTAGGAGAACACCCCAGTTGCCACCATATGGCCCCAAAATATCATTCTTCCTGGGTGTCGTTGTAGACATGGACAGATGCATTTTGGGTTGGGAGAGAAGGCATGTCCAGAGCTAGAGTTTGCTGTAGGGGAGCAGGTGTCTGCGATCATCTGTGCACATAGCTGTTTGTAGCAGGGCTAGAATCAAAGGCTGGATTGCAGATTCAGAGTCTGTGTGTTTTCCTCACACGAAGTGACTCACCCTTGCACTTTTGTGTCTAATCAGCTGGTCAGCCGTGGTGAGGTAATGTGGACACAACACTCCACAGGGGCTTCGTTTGGTATCCAGAGCCTGGTGGACTCGGACTGGTCATATTTGCAAACTGCAGAGACCTGCAGTGGTCAGGGTGCTGAGCCAGACAGGAAGCTGCTCCCAGCAACATTTCTGAAGACAGTCCTTTGTCTTGGACTTGCTTATTTAAAGGAGCCCAGAGCCTGAACAGACTGTTTTTGTGGATGCTAACGCCCTTGCTTTTGCAAACACATGTTTTGTTTTGATTTTCAATTTTTCCTCTAACCGTTTGCATCTGGCTGTCACCTGTGGACACTGTGCTGATCCAGTACATTGAGATCTACTGGTGACTAAAACCCAAGCAGCAGCAAGTTGATGCTGGACTTTTCTTTCGAGGCTTTCTCTCAGTCCATCTTTCCAGTCCCATTTTGAACATTTTGTCCTCGATGTAATTGAAAACTGAAAACAAAACAAAAACCACATTCTTAAAGGTTGTGTCAGTTTTGGCAGATGACCTGAGTTGACGAGGTCCCCATGGTGCTGCCACATGGATATGAAAGCTGGTCTGCAGTCCGGGGGCCTAAGATGTGCTGGTCATTTAGAAGTTTCTGAGATACTCTGGCAACTATCTTTTGGGATTTTAAAAAAAACTGATGAATTAAAGTAATAGGATATTTTTAAATAAACACATCATTTCCTCCCTTTTCTAGGAATTACACACTGAGATTTATGCCAATCCCTATGTATGATGCATCTCAAGCCCTCAAGACCAACCCTGAAAAAACAGAAGAGGCTCTGCAGAAGGTATTGCAGAATCAGTAGCTGAATTATAATAAGTTGGCTCTGCAGAAGGTATTGCAGAATCAGTAGCTGAATTATAATAAGTTCACATGTGAACTGAGTTATGTTCATGATAATCCTGAACATATGAACAGTACAATGTCTTTTACAAAGCTTTTTTCACATTTGCTTGTATTCTGAGGATCATGACGGGCATAATGCGTGAATGGGGGA